TAATACTAATGGATTATATTAGTCAGCTCAAGCATCTATAACAAAATACCATAGACTGGGTTGTTTAAGCAGCAGAAATTTATTTTCTTATACTTTTGGAAGCTGGAAGTCAGAGATCAGAGTGTCAGCATGGTCAGGTTCTGGTGAGTGCTCTCTTCCTGGTTTGCAGACGGCAGCCTTCCCACTGTGTCCTCACATGATGAAAAGAAAAGAGTTCTCTCTCAGTCTCTTCTTCTCTCACAATGCCACTGTCCTATTATATTTGAGCCCCACCCTAATTTAACTTTACTTCCTAAAGTACCTCATTAGTACGCCCTAATTAAGCTCTTCCTAAAGACCCTATCTCCACATTGGGGGGTTAAGGTTTCAACATCTTGCAATGTAGACAGAGTACTGGAAATCAGTGTGTCAAATTGTGCTGTAGTAGGTCTGGATCCTTGTGTGGGATTCTGCTTGAAAGCAAGTTGGGGGAGCTGTTTCAGAGGAAGCCTGGCAGGAGGGTGTGCTAATACTTGGCACCAGGCTGTGATTTTCCATATTCTAGTTTGGAGAGATTCTTTGCTGGTGTATTTTTTGGGGATCCAGGCAGAAAATAAAAAAAGGGTCCTGCCTGTGGGACCATGAGTCTCTCAAGATACAGAGCTTACTGGCTTCTATCTTTATCGAGAGTGAAAAAGGTAGCTAGGACAAAAAAGCAACAAGCCAAGAGTTCTGGTCTACAGAACCTGCAAACCTATTATCGGGGAGTGCCTTCTTGGACAACAAGAAGTCTCATTCCCTAACAAAAGTTGTCTTGCTCACTTGCTGTGGTTGTGCCCTCCTGGGACACCCCTCATGCAAGGGTTCGCTTCCCTGTGAGCACCCGCCAGAGGGCGCCCTGCACATCAGGATTTCGGAGGCTGTAGATGAGTGGGTTCAACATGGGGCTGATCACAGTGTTGAGGATGCCAATCCCCTTGTCCTTGTCCGAAGCCTCTACTGAGCCCAGACGCATGTAGCTGAAGACACCTGTCCCGTAAAAGATCCCGACCACGGTGAGGTGGGAGCCACAGGTGGAGAAGGCTTTCTTCCTGCCCTCGGCAGAGTGTATTCGCAAAACTGCAGCTGCCACAAGGACATAGGAGGTGACAATAAGAATCACAGGTACACCTGCCATGAAGATACCCAGACCAAAGAGCAGCAGCTCATTGAGTTGGGTGCTGGAGCAAGAAAGCTGGAATAGCTGGGGGAGGTCACAGTAGAAGTGATTGATCACATTGGGACCACAGAAGTTGAGTGTGGATATGCCTACAGTGTGCGTCAGTGCATTGATGAAGGCACAAGCCCAGGACACAACCACCAAAATCCTCTGAATCGTTCGGCTCATGCGGGTGCTGTAGGTGAGGGGCCGGCAGATGGCCAGGAATCGGTCATAAGCCATGGCTGTCAACAGGAAGCAGTCCACACCAGCCAACTGATGGAAGAAGAAAAGCTGTGTGAGGCAAGCTTCATAGGGAACTGTACGCTCATGGGACAAGAGACGACCCAACATTGAGGGAACAGTGACGGTGATGCACCCAACGTCGAGCACTGATAAGTTCCCCAGGAAGAAGTACATGGGGGTGTGGAGCTTGGGCTCCACCAAGATGGCTGCCAGGATGCTGAGGTTGCCCCCGACAGTGACCAGATAGGCAAAGAGGAAGAGCACAAAGACAAGTGGTCGCAGCCCTGGTGTCTCCATCAAGCCCAGCAGGATGAACTCAGTAACAGCTGTTCCATTGGCACCAGACTCTGGCTCCATGTGTCCCTGTAAGAAGACACCCCATAGTAGAAGGGACCATTCTTCCCAGTCTAGTTATTCAATAAAAATAAATTGACTCACTTTTATATGCCAAGCCCCAGGGTAAATTTCCAAGTGCCCTAGTGGTTATTTTCCCATTCCTCAGGCCACACTTCACTCATTAACTCTGTCTTCACCTCAATCCTTACCCAGCTTCCAGGTGAGTGGCCTGATGCCAAAACTACCTTGGACTTCCCCCACCTGCTGGTGAAAGGTGTATAAATTCTTTCTTCCTTTGTTCCCTAGAATCAAGGAACTAGATCTCCTCACCAGCAATCTGTCTGAGGAGATTTAGGGGGGAAAATAATGCTAAAAGTAAAAGTGAACAGATAGTAAATAGAAAGGAGCTAAAGAATTGATCATAAAGTCTTCACAAATAAATAAATACCTGGAAAATATCCAAGCACTAAAAATGTAAAAATACACAAAATTAGGAAATGAAAATGTGGTATAATCACAGACCAAAAATATATCAAATAATCATGGAATACCATCTGCTCTTAAATTTGAACAATCAATTCAAGAACAGTGTGCACACCAAATCAGCTTCAACTAAAAAAAAATGGAAAAAATATTGTCAGCAATGTACTTCCATGTGTAGGCTCTAGGCTCAAATACTTCTTATACAAATTATTTAAAATTATCAATGTAAATATAATGATCATGTAACATAAATTTCCCTTAGCTTAGGAAAAGAAAAACACAAGCCTTTCAATTCATTAAGGGATCAAATATATGGTGATGGAAGGAGAACTGACTCTGGGTGGTAAACACACAACATGATATATAGATGTTGTATTACAGAATTGTACACTTGAAACCTATGTAACTTTACTAACAAATGTCACCCCAATAAGCTTTAATTAAAAAAAATCTTAATACTAAAATGTAACAATAACAAAAAAAGGAATTATTCTACACTGCCCTCATTGATAATATGTATGCAAAAATCTTAAGTACAATAAATGAAATCCACCATTTTATAATAGATTTTATAGGAAGAAGGTGATTTAATATTAGTAAATCTACTTTTATATTATAGCATATTAATTGGCTCAAAAAAGAGGAACTTTTCCTAAAAAGCAATTCATAAACATTTACATATATTCTTAATGTAGAGAAAAAAGAAGAAAAGAAAACTCTTGTAGCTACTTGAAATGGAGGTACACCACTTTATGTGACAAGGCCATCCATTGCACATCCATATCATAATGGTGAAGGAGTAGTGATATTTCTATTAAAATAAGGGGCAAGAAAGCCTTTGTTACTTCAAGTATTTCTCATTATTCTAAAAATTTAAGACAAAGAGAAATAAAGTACTTAAAGAATAGAGACATGAAGAAAAATGTTAATTTGGAAACAATAAAACTGCCTTAAAAACAAGGGAACTCTTGGAGTTATTAAGATATTATCAAGTTAGATTTAAAAATCATTATATACAAACCAATAGATTCCTTGTGTGCCAAAAATAATCAGCTACAAAACCCAAAAGTCCCAAGTGTCAGGTGAAATTTTATAATATCAGATTAAAAGTAAAGGAGGAAGTAAATTTATACCTGTGTTATATATACAGATTCCCAGAAAAATTACCCAAAATAAACATTCTCAGTTCCACTGACTGGTAGAAATATGGGAAATTTTTAATTCCTTTTTTCCCTCACTTTTCTTTTGCTTTCAAATGATCTCCAATGAATGATTACTTTTCTAATAATAAATAAATTTTGTGATGTTCGGTTTCTTCCAGATTACAGAGACCTTTAAGGGCCAACAATAATAACCCAATGGCTCCTCCTCCCTGTCATGTTTCCATCAGTTTCAAGGTGCTGCTACCCAGCAGATTAAATAAAAGTTTAGAGTGCTACATGGATCCTAATTTGCCTCACTGCTCTATGAAGAGTATAACATGTGCTTCCTTAAAAAAAAAATCTACTCATAACAAAACAACCAACTCGCCTACCAGTTTCTGCCCAAATTAATTTATGTGGCATCAATGGAAGTCTTTGGCCTGTTTTATTCTTTGTGTGAATGCTTTAGCAGAACATGGATGTTTTAAGATTGTGTTTATCTTCTACTTATTAAACTAATTACTTTGACTTTTTTTTCTGTCTTTTTGATGGATCTTTTTAAATATAGTCACCTGGTGACATTTTTGGTGCCTGGAAATATTTAGAGTTTTAAAAAATATATAATTAAAAAGCATCATAGATAATAATAATGAAAAGCTGTGATTTCTGCAACTTTATCATGATCTGGAAATAATAAAGATAACTTCCTAAATATTGAAACATAATTTAAATTCAAGACATAATGTCAGTTTCCCATCAATGATATAGACTCTGAGATACAGTGGGAAGCCTACATCCACCGTGGGTAATATTCAGCCAGAATCCACTGGTACAAAGTACCAGTCTGGTGCTTGTTAAATATTTTGACTATCACCCCTACCCACATCGTGGCCTTATCAGTGCACATAGCTGTATTCAGTATACCCTATATATAGCATCACTGAGTCAAAGAAGGAGCTAGGTAGTTGGCATCTTGCAGAGTATCTACTCACTCACTTTACTGATGAGGAAACTATGGTGGAGCATTTTTGGGTTGGAATTGTTGGGATTAGAGTAAATATTAAATATACTTATAAAATGTCTGGTGTTCTATTTTTAAAAAAGGACCTGTTGCTGGGCCATCCTATGGTATGCTTGCTAACCCCCAAGTAACTACGAGGCCATCAGGGAAAGGATTTGTATGAGGACATCAGAAATTTGTCACTGGTCTGACCAGTCCAAGATGGCTGCTTCTAACCAAATCCCCAAAGGGCATTTCCTGGCGCTCACCATGGGATGAAAAAAATCCATGTCTTTCTGCAGTTCTCCCTGGAGCTGCTCTGAATGACTCCTCTGACTGAGAAACCTATTCCCTACCCTTTGTGTCTGTGCCTTGCAAATCTCACTGTCTCTTGCTTACAGACCTGTCTTAGGTAGCTTGTGAACAAACAGGCTTTTTGGATAAGGTAGGTCATGGTTATAAACAGCACCTGCCTCACTTCATTCTGCTCCTCAGTTCACTTTGGGGCTGTCCTTCCTCATCTACCCTGTGAGAGCCTTTCCTCTGATATGTCTGCCTGATTCAGGTTTTCTATCTGCTACCAAATGTCACAGAGCCACTGGCCTCTCCTGAGTGCACTTCTCAGGCACCAACCTCAAGTCTACCTGCCAGGCTTTTGCTTTCCATTTTTCTCAAAGATTTCCCATTTTGCCCAAAAGAAACCAGCCTGCTTTCCATGCCTCTTCAATGCTGTGTCTCGTGGTCTTCCACTGGTTGATGGCAGGCTACAGTCCACCACGCCTCTCCACCACCTCCCCTCCACCATCATAATCATCACTCTTTCTTGCTGTTCTCTCAAAATAAGAACCTGGGCCTTTCTTATGTTAAGAGTTTTTCTGATAATTATAGATAGTGCATAAAAACAATGGCAAATATAGAAAAATTATACAAGTTGAGGGTGTCTTGCAAAGTCCTTGTCATGAATGTCCTCTTGCCCTGTCTGGACAGTCCCTGGACACCACCTCGACAGCCTCTTTCTCCCCTACTCTCTCCACCGGCAACTGACTCCTCTAGACCCTGCAGCATCCTCTTTTCTATAAAGCTTCATTTTATATATGCGATTAAGGCAGAGCAGCAGCTGCAGACATGCGGAGATAGTTGGTGGAAGCCTCAATGCCAGAATCCAAATTAGGTCCCCATGTTGTGTGACAGTCAGTTTTAGGGGCTGCTGTGTAGAAGGTTCTGTGTCAGTGAGAAATTTCATGCTGTGTCTCCTAAAGTCTCCTAAAAATGCTGAAATCCATGATTCCCATTGTGTCACCCTTTGGGTCTAATTGTAGACCTAGTCTCACTTAACAAATACTATGTGAATTGGGATATCAATGAGAGCAAAATAGCTCCCCACACATATTAAATAATTAAAGAATAATTAAACTACCTCCCAATGAGACTCTTAAATCCACTTTAACTTGAGTTATAAGGTTTCGCACTCTGATTTCATGTCTCCCTGTCTTTGCTCAAACTGTTTATTTTATCTGGAATGTCCTCTCATTAACTCCAAGTGCCCAAATCCTTTATGACTTAACCGAAAAGTTTCTCTTCTGTAAAAGTTTTCCTGATACCTTTCCATCTCAAACCTCTCTCCACCAACTCCTGCAGCACTTAAATTTTATGCTTCACAGCACTTATCTCTGCTAACCTCTTGCATGGTCACTTTTTAAAAGAACCCCTTTTCCCCACCTCAACTGCTCCCCCTCTAACCACTCTACATGGCTTCAGGACAGAAGTATAGCCGACTCAGCTTTGCATTCTCAATGCCTGTCTTCACCCTTTGCATACAGTAGTTGTTCAATATTTCTGACATAAGTAAATGGATGAACTTGGCAGCTAAGACCATAAGATCAACATGTTTTCACTGAAAGGGGCTATCAGTTGGGCTTATAGGAATTGGGAAACATTAGCTGGATGAGCTTGAATTTATGCAAAATGATGAAAGAGTGAAATGATTTGAGGGAGGTGTAAGTCTGAGTAAAAGGCCCAAAAGGACTGCTGTAGGAATCTCTGTTCCCTTTGTCCACATGGGGCATTGGGGACCGTTAAGACAGTAGTTAAAATAACTCACCCACTGACATATGTCTTTTCTTGAGAACAGCTCAAAGGAATTTGGCAACTAGGAAGGGTAACCCTTATGAATAATTAAGTCTAGACAAGAAGACTACACTCCACAGAGATGCCGTGCAACCCTAACTCTACAGAGGTGAAGCATACTTATCACCACCAAGATTCTAGGAGGACCACCAGTCTATCATCTAATAAGTCCCTCTTAAAGAAGATCACCATGGTGACCTTAGCTGAAGAAGTTCTCCTAGATTATCAGAATGAGCCCCAGGATGCCTTTGCTGAGTGTTCATGGCTCCCTGCTCTGA